TTTTGCTCTCTGGAGGATCCTGGCCAGGATCAGGAGTCAGGTGAATCTTTTGTTAAACAGGGGGACCATCCTATGAAACTAGGACTGTCCCCTTACCAGAGAGGTGCAGGGGTTTGCCCAGGGGCACAGAGCAATGGGCCCTGGTGCAGATATTGGCTGCTACTTAATGACTTGAGAGAGAAGAAAGGATTAGCTTGACCCAGGGGGAGCAGCTGGGGAGGCAGAGTGGCCAAAGGGGCGGATGCTCGGTCAGCTGGAGCTGTTTGGTTGGCTGGACACCAACAGTGCGCGGGACTTGAGCTGGTGGCAGGGGGAGGCTGCCTGAGGCCCTGGGTGGGGACATGCCAGCTGACGCAAGCGCGGAGCTCCTGGTGCCAGGCGCCTGGTGCCACGTGCCCAGCCCCGAGGTGCTTCCCAGCCTGGCTCCAGCTGCCCCAGACTATACAGTTGCAGTCTGCTGGCCGCCTTGGACGGCTTCAGCTCTGTGAGCTCATGTCCTGAGCTCACACCATGACTGACGGGGTCGGGGCTGGTTGCCCTGAGAGGTCCTGGTAGTTCACCTGGGCCAGCCCCCCCGCTGACCTTGCCTCAGGAGTCCTCCAGCCTCCCTGGGGGCCAGCCTTGCTGCAGGGGCCTCTCTGCCTTTCCTGAGTTGCCCTCCCAAGTGGTGAGGGGCCTCCGAAAGGCAGGTCCCCTTTCTGCACCCCACCCCCTCTGACGCGCTGGAGGGGATTTTCCTGTGACTCACTCTGCTGGCACTTCCTGTGGTCACTGGGGCAGGGGCTGGGGGGACCCAGCAGACTGTGCTGTGTTCTAGGGTCACTAGGGGAGGACGGGCCGGGTGTCCCGCCCCTGGACGGGATGTGATTCCCCGAGACAGGCTGCGGACCATATTTGGGAAATTTGCTTTCCTTGCTGGCAGCCTGGGGACGGGCGTCGTGCGCCCTGGTGGGCTGCAGGGCAGCAGCCCCCTGCCTGGTCCTCCTCAGGGCTCTGCTCTGGGTCGCCGCAGCACAGCCACTGTTGTCCGTGCTCCCTCGAAGCTTAGGAGGCGGGCCACTCTATTCTTTTTCAGGATGTGAGTTTTTTCAGCCTTAAAGCAAGAAATATTCATTAACTACAAATGGAAAAATTCGGTAAAACAGGAAGAGAGATTATCTCCCATTGTCTCAGATATGAACAGTGCTGTTCAGACCCTCTCCCCACTTAAAAATTTCAGGTGCTTTTTGTTGTTTTAAGATTTATTTACTTATTTCCAAGTTAGAGTTACACAGAGTTGGGAGGGGAGAGAGGGAGGAAGGGAGGGAGAGAGTATCTTCCATACACTGGTTCACTCCCCAGATGGCCAGGCCAAAGCCAGGAGCCAGGAACCTCTTCCAGGTCTCCCATATGGGTGGCAGGGGCCCAAGCGCTTAGACCATCTTCCACTGCTTTTCCCAGGCCATTAGCAGGGAGCTGGATCTGAAGTGAAGCAGCCAGGACTCAAACCAGCATCCATATGGGATGCCGGCACTGCAGATGGTGGCTTTACCCACTACACCACAGCACCAGCCCCGTCAGGCAGTGTTTTTGAGGCCTCATTGATACTTCTGTGCCTTCTTGTGTTGCGGTCGTGTGGGTGGTGGTGTAGGAACTAGCAGTTCCCACCTCGTGCGTGGTGGTGTTCATTCTGGGGCTGCGCTGAGTCTGCCTGGGCTGTGCTTGGCCTGGCTCCTCCCTTGGACCTTGCGCCCTCGACTGCCACCTCTCTGCCTCTGGCCCTTTCTAGGGTCTTTCTGAGCAGCTCTGGTAAAGTGAGCCCTGGCCCAGGACTCCTGGGGCACGCAGGTGGCAGCTCCTGGGACTGGGAATACCTGCTGCCTGCCCAGCGCTTCTCGTCTGTGCTTCTCTGCCTCGGTTCCCTCTCTCAGAAGCACCCGCTGTGCTCGTGCAGTGTGTCTGGAATCTGTCCCTGGATAAATGCCTTTGAAATACATCAGCTTGTTTTGTAGACGATCATAACATTGACAAGAAGACCGGCGATCTCCGGTCTGATGCTCTGACTCAGGAGTCCTTCGCCTGTCCCGGGCCGCGCAGGGTGCAGGGAGTGACGGACAAGCACAGGCACCTTTGAGCTCGGTGCTGTCGAGGTCAGGTGGGGCCGCTGGGCCACATAGCAGAGGGGCTGTCGAGGGGCTTCCCCGAGCTCTCAGCCTCCTTCATGTAGGCCCTGACCATTTACCTTCCCCTCTCGTGAACTCTTCATCTTTGTGAGTTTCCCTGATGGTGTTCCTGTCTTGTTCTTGTCTTTTCCTTGTTGATTTGTAGGCATCCCTCCGAATCCTAGGGCAGTCACTGTTATTTGTACTAGAGTTGTACCTTTTGCATTTAGACCTATGGTTGCCCTTTGTTTGAAATATGTCCCAATTGAGCTGTCTCCACGGGGCGGTGTGTGCAGCACCGTCTGTGCGTGGGGCTCTCTTGAGTTCCGCCGCAGTCCGCTGGTCCCTGTGCCTGGAGTTGTGGCATGTGCTGCCTTGTGGGGCAGGGCCCCGATGCCTTTTCATCTTCGAGATTAACCTTCTAATCCATGAGCCTTTGTTCCTCCATGTAGTTCTAGAAAGATTTTCTCCCCTTTGCTCAAATTCCTTTAAAAAATAAAATCCTGCTGGCCTTTTTACTGTAATTGTAATTTGTTTACAGTAGTCTGATGTAAACTGCAGGAGATGTATTCCAAGATTTCCCATATATACTATATGTAGTATGCATACCTGTGATAATTTTTTTTTTTTTGACAGGCAGAGTGGACAGTGAGAGAGAGAGACAGAGAGAAAGGTCTTCCTTTGCCGTTGGTTCACCTTCCAATGGCCACTGCGGCCGGCGCACCGCGCTGATCCGATGGCAGGAGCCAGGTGCTTCTCCTGGTCTCCCATGGGGTACAGGGCCCAAGCACTTGGGCCATCCTCCACTGCACTTCCCTGGCCACAGCAGAGAGCTGGCCTGGAAGAGGGGCAACCGGGACAGAATCTGGTGCCCCGACCGGGACTAGAACCCGGTGTGCCAGCACCACAAGCCGGAGGATTAGCCTATTGAGCCATGGTGCCGGCCTTGTGATAAAATTTAATGTATAAGTTAGGCATAGTAAAAAATCAACAACCTAAAAATAATAAAGCAATTCTATCAATATAATGAAAGTTATGTGCATGTGGTCTCTCTGTTCCTCCCACAGTGTCTTATTTTACTTTGACCGTGTCACCTAAAGGAGTCATTTATAGCTTCCCGTTGACATTCCAGTTGTCAGGGTCACTACTCCTGCACTTTAGGGCCGTTATTAAATGCAATAGGGTAGGTCCCATGCTGCAGTGTAGCAAATAGAGCTGCCACCTGCAACACCACCATGCCATATGGGTGCCAGTTGGAGTCCCGGTTGTTCCACTTCCAATCCAGCTCTCTACTAATGCACCTCAGAAAGCAGTGGAAGATGGCTGGAGTGCTTGGGCCCTTGTACTTGTGTAGGAGACCCAGAAGAGGCTCCTGGCTTCCGCCTGATCCAGCCCTGCAACAGTCCTGCTGTTGTAGTTATTTGGGGAGTGAACCAGCAGGTGGAAGATAGCTCTCTCTGTCTCTCTCTCTTTCTCCCTGTAACTGTTTCAGATAATTTTTTTAATGTGAAGTAGGGTGACAGGACAGTCCATCTGGTGACTGACCTGACTCCTGAGTGACGTAATGTGTGAGTAGCATATACAGCGTGGATACGCTGGACAGGGGAGATTCGTGTCCAGCCTAGAAGGGAGTGGAACGGTGTGAGATTTCATTGTGACACTGAGAAACACACACAGTTCAGAGTTATGAGTTGTCTGTGGAATTCTCCATTTCTTATTTTCTGACTGCAGTTGACTGTGGGTCAACGCGAAACCATGAGTGGGCAGGGGAGGGGAGCTACTGTGCTAAGAGAGCTTGAGCGTGTGAACTTACAGTCTTACAGTGTTAAATTTGGCCGTGAACTTGGTAGATTTTTCTTCTTCAGATTTTTCCTCAAGTGCCTTACAGAGCTTAAACATTTTCTTCTCGAAGGTCTATGCAGTTGTTTTCCGTGATTAATTCCTGGGTAACTTTTAGCTTTTGGTTTTATTTGGAAGGCAGGGAGACAGATGAAAAGAGATCTGCCATCTGCTACTTAGTCACCCAAATGCCCACAGTGACCAGGGCTGGGCCAGGCCAAAGCCAGGAGCCCAGAACTCAATCTGGGTGTCCTACATGGTGGCAGGGACCCAGGGACTCAAGCCAGCATTTGCTGCCCGTCAGGGTCGCGTTGGCAGGAAGCTGGGTCGGAAGCAGAGTGGCAAGGACTCAGACGAGGGTCTCCGATACAGGATGAGGGCGTTCCGAGCAGCGGCTTAAGCGTCTGCACCGAACTGCCTCCCGGTTACTGATGTCGGCGACCGCGCGGCTCGCTGGCTTCCCTGCGCACTGTGCGCTTCTCACTCGGCCCCTTCTTTCCTCTTACTGAACTGTGCTGGCCAGGGCTGCAGGACTTGAGCAGGGAGAGTTCCTGTTTTCTCCCTGCCCTAAGGGAAGGTGTTGGGAGCTTCTCCAGTAATTATTGGTATTCTGATAGATTTTTTTTTAGTAAATAGACTTCATTAAGTTAAGGAAATTTCCTTTTTTTTTTTTTTCAGTATTTTTTATCTTGAGTTCTGAATTTTGTCAAATTACTTTCTTGCATCTGGTGAGATAGATAATCATTTGCTGTCCTGTTTAACCTGGTGGCCACTGTTGTCATGACCCTGGGGGTGGCTGCCGTCAAGAGGAATCTGAGGTGCTGTCCAGGCTCAGTTGAAAAAAATGCCAGGATCAGCAGGGGCTTCCTGCCAGGGGGCAAAGGTGCCGCAAGCTCACCACACTCAGTGGAGTTCCTTTCCTGGCACTGAAGCCGGAGGCCTGGGTGGGAAGCAGGCCAGCCTGGGAGTCCCTGTGTGTGTCCTCCTGCCCTCACGCCCATCTGCACCCTCTTTCTCCAGAACGTGCTGGCCAAAGCCCTCTACGACAATGTGGCTGAGTCCCCGGATGAGCTCTCCTTCCGCAAGGGTGACATCATGACGGTGCTGGAGCGGGACACGCAGGGTCTGGATGGCTGGTGGCTCTGCTCGCTGCACGGGCGCCAAGGCATCGTGCCTGGGAACCGCCTCAAGATCCTGGTGGGCATGTACGACAAGAAACCAGCCGGGCCTGGGCCTGGCCCTCCTGCCACCCCACCCCAGCCCCAGCCCCAGCCCGGCCTCCCGCAGGGCGTCCACACCACAGTGCCCCCAACCTCCCAGTACACCCCCATGCTCCCTGCCACGTACCAGCCTCAGCCCGACAGTGTCTACCTGGTGCCCACTCCCAGCAAGGCTCAGCAAAGCCTCTACCAAGCCCCTGGGCCTAGCCCACAGTTCCAGTCACCCCCAGCCAAGCAGACGTCCGCCTTCTCAAAGCAGGCATCCCATCACCCGTTTCCCAGCCCAGCCGCAGACCTCTACCAGGTGCCGCCAGGGCCAGGAAGTCCCGCTCAGGACATTTACCAGGTGCCACCTTCCGCTGGGACGGGCCATGACATCTACCAGGTCCCCCCATCCATGGACTCCCGCCCCTGGGAGGGGACGAAGCCACCGGCAAAGGTAAGTCCACCCGGCGACTGGGCACTGCCACTCTTGGTCCCCACGCTCCCACAGTAGCTGTGCATTTGGTCTGGGGGCCAGGTGGGAGGTGACCGTTTGGAGACTGTGCTCCTGTTGGGCGAAGATGGTCCTGAACAGGCTGTGGCACCAGAGGGGACACAGCAGGCTGGCCTCGGAGAGTGTGGAGGCCTTCAGCAGGGTGTCGCTGGGAGGGCATGGCCTTGAGATGTGGGGAAGTGCCTGCAGTGGCACGGGAGGCCAGAGCTGCAAGCTAGGCACGGTTTTTAGGGGCCTGGTGCCCACTGAAGAGCTGGATGCTGTCCTATGGGTGGGGGGTTTCATGTGAGAGTGATGTGCCCCCCTCCAAGCCTTGCTGAAGTCATTCTGACCACAGAGTGACGTCCTCCAAGCGCCCTGGAGCTTGGAGCGGCAAGACTGGGGCGGGGATGCTAGAAGAGGAGGACTTGAGCTTCGGGGTGGCACTTAGGAGAATTGTGGGTAGAGATCAGTGGTCATCTGCATGAGCGTCGGTACAACAGAGACACTTGCTTCTTTGTCACGTAAGCCAGGTCTGGCGGTGAGCGGGCTGGGACTGCCAGGGCCCTCCCTCACTGCCGGAGCCGCTCTGCCCTGTGTCCTGCTCCTCTGTCATCCTCAGTGTGCGCTTGTGTCTCCTGGTTTGCGATTGTGCATGGGCTGCGGCTGTTGTGCATGTGGTGTGCCCAGCAGGGAAGATGGACCTTGTGTGTGCCCTTCCTGTCGGCCGGAGCTGCAGCCTGTGGTCCACCCGGCTGCCAGGGAGGTGGAAAACGGCGCCTCTCCCCGGTGGCCACGTGCTCCGTCTCACTCAGGGGCCGGGTTCTAAGGCAGAAGGGATGGAGGGCTCCTTGGGGCTCGGTTGAGAAAGGCGCAGCGGCCGTGTGCTCAGGGGCTCACCTGCTCTCGGCTTGTGTGTCAGCGTCTGCGTGTGGGTGGAGCACGTTTGTGCCCTGGCCCCAAAGGCCAGCTGTTGGCTCTTCTGGGGCAGTGACCGTGGGGAGGGTGCTGCTCCGGGGTCCCTAGAGAAGGATTGCCCTGCGAGACTCAGCCTTCAGTCCCCTGCAGGCTATCCCTGGGGGACGAGGCCTCTGGGCCGCAGCCTTGAACCCGGGCACCCTCAGCTCCATGTGCCGCCCTGTGCACTCCCATGCCACTCCCAGATCCATCTGTGGAGAGGGAATCAAGCACCTCCCCTGCTTCTGGCAGTGGGGAACAGCTTTTTCCCCTCTGGTTGCCTGTGTCTGGGCCCAGAAGTAGAGTTGTCCCCTGTTCTAGCCCTCCACCGTTACGGGCCTGGCCTGCCCTGCCGTGTAGCTCACCCAAGGGGGCCCGAAAGACCAAGCCTACACCAAGGAGTGCCCCGCCACCACTCACTGCTCCTCAGGGAGGCTGTGCTGGATAGAGGCCCCCTGGAGGGGGCACAGCTGGCCCTGAGGAGGAGCAGCCCAGGCCAGCCCAGTCAGCCTCCGTGAGCTGCTGCCCGGTCTTGTGCTGTTTCCATGTCCAATCTGGAGCTTCCGTTGTCTGGAGAGTCAGTGGCCAAGTAGACATGGAGCCCATGGCCCTGAGCCTTGTCTTCAGAGATGGCCTTGGCTGAGTTAGGGATCTTGCTGTTGCCAATACTGGACAAAGTCAGCCGGAAGCAGGTAGGAGTCCATGGACCCTGACCCTGGTGAGCCTCGAGACAGGCCATGGTCTGTCCTCTCCACACACAGCACACCTCCCGTACAAATGCACATGCACAGCCATATGTCCACAGACATGCCCATGTGTATGGTCATGTGTGCACACACCATGTGCTTGAACACATATGCACACACTCTTATACATGTCCATGCTCCACACGTACCCGAGTGAGGCATCCCTTGCCCCGACTTTGCAGCGCAGCTCGTCCTGGTACAGTGGGGAAGCCGGGGCCGGCAGTGCAAGGACCTCAGCCAGGCCTTGGACGCAGGCTGTTGATTGTCAGTTGCTCTTTCCCTCCCAGGCATGGGTGTGCTTCTGGACTGGGAGGCGCCCACTGCGGAGCTGCCTGGGCCTGTGTCCTGAGGGCCCTACCCTGCCTGGTGGACCAGCACCTGGTTGCTCTCCCCAGGAAGCCCCATCGCTCTTGCCCTGGGCAGCTTGGAATGTTTCTGCGATGCTTGTTTACCCTGGAACATGCATAATGCATGCACAAGTCTAGAGAGAAATTCCCCAATCAAGAGGTAATTGCTGGGGAATTTCAGCCTGTTTGTCACATACTCTCTCTTTGCAGGCTTATATACATACTTTTGCATTTTAAAGTTGTAAAATCAACATGAGGTACAAAGCCATTTTCTTGGTGGTAAGACTTCTCTAAGCCTGATTGGGGTGGCGGCTCCCAGTGGGAGGTGGGCACTGTGCAGTCTGATTGCTTTTGTCTTGGGTTGCACATCTGTGCCTGCGCTTCAAAGTCCTGCTTCATGAGCCTGAGGTCCTCCCCTCAGATAGCTCCTGGGCCCAGGGTAGGATGTGGGCTAAGGTCAGCCCTGGCGAGGACTGTAGGTGGGTGGGAGGGCCTGGCCCCAAGAAGCCACGAGGGCAGGCGGCAAGGCTGGGGCCAGGAGGGTCAGACTCCAGAGCAGGTTCCATCTGGTGTGAGGGGAGGGCTGGGTGGCCAGCAGGGCCTGGGTGCTTAGGGCCAGTGCCTGGGCCCCGGGACTTGGGGGCTTCAGGCTCTCTGTGTGCAGTTGGGACCGGCAGAGGGGAAGGCATCTGTGAGGCCGCTCTGGAAGTAGGGGAGGTGTGGGGAGGGGGCGTGGACGTGTTCTGTGTCAGGAGCTGCAGCTGCGCCTAAAGGGACAGCTGTACTGCCTGAGCCATAAGGTACCAGGAGCTTGGAGTGGGGGAGGGGAAGTGTGCTACCGCGCTGGGCCCCCAGGCCACCATGCCTGTGACCCCGGTCAGGTGCTCCCTGGCAGTAGGATGTGTCCTGGTTTGGCAGAGACACTTCTGTGGCTGTGAGAGGGACGAAGTGGGAGTCGTCGATGGGAGGGGCGGGATGCTCCGTAGCTAGGAGTTGGCCCAGGTCAGGGGTGAGGGCCGTTTTAGTTGAGAGGCTTCAGCCCGAGCTGCCGAGGGGCAGGGAGGGGCCCTGTCTCTGCTCTGGAGGTTGTCTCTGCCGCCCAGGACTGACCTGGGTTCGGACACACGTTTCTAGGTCACCCACTCCTTCCCTGGACCCTGTTGTGGAGGAGGAGGGTTGGAAGGGTCAGCATCCCTGACCCTGGCGGGACCTTGCGCTGCATGGGTCCTCTGTGTGTGCAAGGCTGGAGGCAGCAGGTGGGCCTCATGTCAGTGTCTCTGTGTCTGTCTCCTTCTAGACTCTGGCCCTGCTCCCCAACCCCCAGGGGCCTCCAGGTCCTGCTAATGGGGCTCAGGTGCCGTGCAGGGTGGCCTGTGATTAGCGCGCTCCCTTCTCTGGGGAATCCGTTTCCCTAATGAGCTTTGCTGCTGGTGGCGGCTTACTCAGTTTTTCTAACAGAAAGCCTTTGCTGGCCCTTCCTACCGCTCACTCTCGCCCTCCCCAGCTGCTGGGGGTCCAGCCCTGCTCTGCATGAGGGCGACATGAGCACAGATGGGGCCTGTGTGCAGGGCTGCTCCCCACTCGTCCCAGCCCTGGGCTCTGGCTCACCTCCACCTGGAGAGGTGTGTCCTGCCTGCCCCTAGGGCTGCTGCGGAGGCTGGAGAAGCCCCAGGCTCCGCCTCATGGACTGGCCAACCTGCCACGTCCCTCCAGCCCCCGCCTGCCCCGCCTGCCCCGCCTGCCCCTGTGTTGGCAGGTTCTAGCATCTAAAAATAGCTTTGGAGGCGACTCAAGTCTGGGGCTCCAGGACGGAGATGAGTGTGGAGAGGCAGCCCTGACTCCAGTCCCAGACACTGCCGGGCAGGGAGCACCGCACCAGGCCGGCAGCCCAGCAGCCCGGGGCCCTGCCCGGGAAGTGGGCAGGGGAGCCTCTGCCAGCCTGGGGCTGCTGGTGCCCGTGCTTCCTGGGGGCACCAGACCCATCTGCTGCCCCTGGGAGAGCCGGCACGTGGCCTCGAATGGGGCCTTGGCGTTGTTCTGGGGGCCTTGAGCCTGCGGAGAGAGAGAGAGACGTGTGGGGAGGGCCTGAGTCAACCCTGGCCCAGACATCCCCTTTGATTAGGGAACAAAGGCCTTTCTGTGGAAAGAGCTGAGCAGGGAGCCCCATGGGGGAGGCGCAGCGGGGGCGGCTGACCCAGGCCGGGTGGGAGAACCCTGCTGGGCCTCCTGTCTGGGAGGAGACTGCGGACTCATGTGAGGGCAGCATGGCCCTCGTGGGGGCTGTGAGCAGCCCAGGGTGGTGCCCCCAGGCCTCTGCCTGCCTGCCGTTCAGTGCCAGGCTTGGCCACTGTGGCTCTTGGCACCTCTGTGTCTGGAGGTGGCTGCTGGGTGCCAGGATTGGGTAAGTCCCTGCTGGACAGACAGCACTCAGGAGACCTCGGCTGAGGCCTGTCGTCCTGCAGGGTCGAGGGCCTCTTGCCCTGCCTGTCTGCCCCCTCAGCAGCCCACGTGCCCCTGCACTGTGGAGCCTCCTCGTGTGCCCAGCTCTCTGTCCCTGTCCCCGAGCCAGGCAGCGGCAGACGAAGCCTAGGGCTCATGCCCCATGTGGCTGTCACAGAAGGAGTGAGGACCAGCGCCTGCAAGCCCACTGGTGGGGCCCTCCCTCAGCTCCATTGTGCGCCTGGCTCCCTCACAGCGGGGGTGGCCGTCTGAGGACTGAGTGCCAGAGCCAGTGGTGAAGTGGGCTGTCCGCCCCCAGGTGGTGGTGCCCACCCGAGCCGGGCAGGGCTACGTGTACGAGGCCTCACAGCCGGAGCAGGACGAGTACGACATCCCGCGCCACCTGCTGGCCCCTGGGCCCCAGGACATCTACGATGTGCCTCCTGTTCGGGGGCTGCTTCCCAACCAGTATGGCCAGGAGGTAGGTGCTGAGGGCTGGGGCGGTTGGGAGAGGCAGGGGCGGTGAGTCTGTACGTCTGCAGCCCAGGGACCTGTGGGGTTTCTGCTCTTCCCATCTCACCCAGGCGGCCCTGACACCTGTTTGACTGTGTTCTTCTGCTCCCAGGTATATGACACCCCTCCTATGGCCGTCAAGGGTCCGAACGGCCGAGACCCGTTGCTGGACGTGTACGATGTGCCTCCCAGTGTGGAGAAGGGCCTGCCACCTTCCAGCCACCACGCGGTGAGCCGCCAGCAGGACCCGGACTGCAGAGGCCAAGGCCGTACCTGTGGGCGGCTGTGGGTGGGAACCGGTCCCGTCCAGCTCTGCCCTCATTTGCGTGGGGCAGATGTGGGAACCAGGCTCTCTTCTGAGCCTGTGGAGTGGCCTGTTCTGGGCCTCCTGGAGAGGATAGTGGCAAGGCCGCCACCGAGCGGAGGGGCAGTAATTATGTGGGGCTTCAGGCGCAACCTAGGCCTGTCCTGGGCAGACTGGAATGGAACGTGCCAGAGCGAAGAGTCCCAGTGGTGGCGGTGGCAGCGGCAGTGTGCTAGCCAGCCTTTCCCTGCGTGTCCCACGGGTATGTGTGTTAACACACGTGTGATCCCCCTGTGCTGTGTGGCTCCTGCCTCCTAGGTGAGCAGACAGCCAGAGGGAGGCCGAGGCCCCGCTCCAGACAGCCCTTAGCCATCACCACTGCACACGAGCACCACACAAGTGCGTGTGCCTGGGCCGTGCCCAGTCCTGACCCCCTCTTGGCTTCCAGGTGTACGACGTTCCTCCCTCGGTGAGTAAGGATGTGCCTGCCGGCCCGCTGCTCCGCGAGGAGACCTACGATGTGCCCCCTGCCTTTGCCAAGGCCAAGCCCTTTGACCCAGCCCGCCATCCACTGGTCCTTGCCGCGCCGCCTCCGGACTCCCCACCCCCCGAGGACGTGTATGACGTGCCGCCCCCAGCTCCTGACCTCTACGATGTGCCCCCTGGCTTGCGGCGGCCGGGCCCTGGGACGCTGTACGACCTGCCCCGCGAGCGGGCACCTCCCGAGGTGGCCGACAGCAGCGTGGCTGACGACGGGGTGTACGCCGTTCCCCCCCCAGCTGAGCGAGACGCCCCGGCGGATGCCAAGCGCCTGTCGGCCTCCAGCACGGGCAGCACACGCAGCAGCCAGTCGGCTTCCTCCCTGGAGGCAGCGGTGCCAGGCCGGGAACCCCTGGAGCTAGAAGTTGCCGTGGAGGCCCTGGCTCGGCTGCAGCACGGTGTGAGCGCCACCGTGGGCCACCTTCTGGACCTAGCGGGCAGTGCTGTCGGGGCTGGGGGCTGGCGCAGCACCCCGGAGCCCCAGGAGCCGCCAGTGCAGGACCTGCGGGCTGCGGTGGCCGCCGTCCAGGGGGCTGTGCATGAGCTGCTGGAGTTTGCCCGCAGCGCTGTGGGCAACGCCGCCCACACCTCTGACCGCACCCTGCATGCCAAGCTCAGCCGGCAACTGCAAAAGATGGAGGATGTGTACCAGACGCTGGTGGCACACGGTCAGGCCCTCGACAGCAGCCGGGGAGGCCTGGGCGCCACCCCCGAAGACCTGGACCGTCTAGTGGCCTGCTCCCGGGCTGTGCCCGAGGATGCTAAGCAGCTGGCTTCCTTCTTACATGGCAACGCCTCATTGCTCTTCAGACGGACCAAGGCCCCCGCCCCAGGGCCCGATGGGGGTGGCCCCCTGCACCCCAACCACACTGACAAGGCCAGCAGCATTCAGTCGCGGCCCCTGCCCTCCCCGCCCAAGTTCACTTCCCAGGACTCACCAGATGGGCAGTACGAGAACAGCGAGGGGGGCTGGATGGAGGATTATGACTACGTTCACCTGCAGGTGGGTGCTGCCCTGCCCGGGCCCCCCTGTCCTGGGGACCATGCTCTGCCCCTGACACACACACAGGGCTCTTGTGGTCGGAGGGAGACGTGAACCCCAGCTGAGGCCCAGGCACTGGGGAGACCCCGCACCCCGCACCCTCCTCTCGCTTCGGCCTTCTGGGCCAGATGGCTCCCTGGAAGCCCCCTGCTCATCCCTGTGGCCAGTGTGGCTGTGTCCTGGGGTCCGGCAGTGCCCACCAGGAATGGCTCCCAAGCTTAGCTACTGCAGTGACCCCAGCAGACACGACAGGGTTCTGTTTGGAGAGAAGAAACAGGAGCAAGATTGTTTGAGGCCAGGGGGACATACAGCAGGGTAGTGGGAAGGTCGGGGCGGGGTCTCTGAGGTAGGACCCTTTCGTGGTCATGGGTTCAGACGGAAGGAAATCCTAGTGAGGTGAGGAACATCCCATACTGAGAGCCAGCAGCTGCCAGTACCCAGCAGCCCGGCCCGGGAGGTGCACAGTGGCCAGGGATGCAGGCCCCAAGCTCGTAGGTTGACCAGGAGAGTTGGAATTTGATTGTTCGTGTGAGAGCTGGGTGGGGCAGAAGGCCATGGCCACGTGGAGTTGCATCCTCTTGAGTGGGTGTCAAGCGGGTGCTCAGCACCCTCCTGAGCTGGCAAGAGGCCTAGGAGCACCCTCCTCTGGAAGCCGCCTCTCCCCGGGCCTGCGTGTGCTTGCGGCGCCACCTGGTGGCCGCTGAGCTCCTGCTGAGTCCCACAGGGCCCCGTGGGCTTCTGGGCCAGAGCAGGTGCCTCAGCCGGCTCCTTGTCTTTCCCAGGGCAAGGAGGAGTTTGAGAAGACACAGAAGGAGCTTCTGGAAAGGGGCAGCATCGTGCGGCAGGGCAAGGGCCAGCTGGAGCCCCAGCAGGTAAGGCCCCGCCTCTGCCGCCCAGGCCCCGCCTCTGCCGCCCAGGCCCCAGCTGGCCCAGCCAGCTAGCCCCGCCCGCGAGACCATCCCCACCTCCTTGTTTGGTTTGTGCTGTAGGCAGGGCGGGCAGGAGAGCAGGAGCAGATGCCAGGTGGCTTCCCCACCGGCCGCCTGCTGGGCTGCTGGGCTGCGCTCTTCACGGGGACACTCAGGAGCCACTGTGGCCCTCTCGGGCACTTTCCTTGGCACTGCACGGTTCTTCTGAAGGTCACAGGTGACACTGAGTCTTCTCGCTGTGCCCCATCCCCCGGTACAAGTGCGGTGCCGTGTTCATCTACAGACAATGCTCTTCCTACTTTCTTTTATTTTCGGAGAGCAGGAAAGGGGTATCAAAAACAGCAAGGGACTTTTATTTTGATAAAATAGTATAAAATCAACGCAAAAGTATCCCGCGTTAAGGTTCCCTCACCCCACCTTCCCCCTGGCTGGGAGGAGAGAGCCTGCCCCGTCCCCTGGGACCGCCCTGAGGCCCAGCCGTGGCGTCTCCCCACACGCGGTGGGGGCGGTTGGCGGGGCCGTGTCACCGAGCTGCCGTGAGGTCCACGCGGCTGAGATGCTTAGCAAGTGCCCAGCACGTGGAAAACCCTCGGGAAAGGAGCAAGTGTCAGTAATCAAGAAACAAAGCAATTCACGCATACGTGTACATGCACATGCACGTTTACACACATACGTAGACGCTCCGCTGTTTGGAGAAATGGACATGTGCTGTCCCAGCATTTAACTAGTCCCCTGTAACCGGGCAGTTAGGTTATTCGCGGCCTTTGCTGCCGTGGGGTGGGCTGTCGTGAGCACGAGTCTGCGTGCAGCTGAGGCAGGAATGGGGGGAGGGGGCGATCACGCCGCAGACTGTCAGCACGGCACTGGGGAGTGGTGAAGAGAAGAGGCACCCGCCAGGTTACTTTAAAACAGAACGAAGCCAAGTGTGTTCTCCCCGGGGGGCGAGAGTGGGGAGGTGAGGGCTTTTACCGAGCCCACGCTGGTGTCGGGAGGGCGCGGCTTTGGTGGGTTTTGGGCATGAAGGCTGCAGCTTCGAGAGGACCCGAGGGCAGACTCCTTCCCGCGTGCTCACTGCCGTGAGAACATGGGTCATGCGGTGTTAGGAGAGAAAAGTCCGTTACAGAAGCATTCGCTGCGCTGCCATTTTTCTAATTGAAAGAAAATGTCTTAATATCCACCAATTTTTGTGCATATGTAAATTTTTTCCTTTCTGAATATTTTGCAAGTGCCATATGCCCTTTTCGTTTGCTTAAAATCTTTATTGTGGAAAACTTCATAATTTCTAAAATTGGAGAAAATAGTCACCCAGGTCTGTCTCCAGCCGCCCGGCGCACAGCCAGTCCCATCTGGTGTGGCCCCGGCCCCGCCCCCAGGTGGTGCTGAGACCCTCAGGCCGGTTCTTCTGCAAGCGCTTTAGTGCACCATTCTTTTTCTTTCTTTCTTTCTTTCTTTTTTTTTTTTTTAAAGATTTTATTTATTTGACAGGTAGAGTTAGACAGTGGGAGAGAGAGACAGAGAGAAAGGTCTTCCTTCCATTGGTTCACCCCTCAAATGGCTGCTACAGCCAGCATGCTGCGCCCATCCGAAGCCAGGAGCCAGGTGCTTCTCCTGGTCTCCCATGGGGTGCAGGGCCCAAGCACTTGGGCCATCCTCCACTGCCTTCCCGGGCCACAGCAGAGAGCTGGCCTGGAAGAGGAGCAGCCGGGACAGAATCCGGCGCTCATATGGGATGCCGGCGCCACAGGCAGAGGATTAACCTGGTGCACCATGGTGTCGGCCCCTCTTTTTCCTAATATGTGGTTCTTTTTGTTGTTATTTTTAAGATTTATTTATTTATTAGGAAGGCAGAGTTACAGAGAGAGAGGGAGGGAGACAGACAGCTGGTTCACTCCCCAAATGGCCATAGCCACCAGGGCTGGGCCAAGCTGAAGCCAGGAGCTTTATCCAGGTTTCCCACGTGGGTGCAGGGGCCCAAGCAGTTATGCCGCCCTCTGCTGCTTTCCCATTAGCAGGGAACTGGATTGGAAATGGAGTAGCCAGGACTTGAACCGGTGCCCATATGGGATGCCAGTGTCACAGGTGATGGCTTACCCCACTGTGTCACAGTGCCTGCCCCCATGGCTCCATTTAAGAAGTTCTGGTGTGGGCCCCAGTCCCAGACGCCGGCCTCCCCACCCCTGGGGTCATGCTACTGACCTGTGCTCCATGTTGCTTGTCTTTGTTTCCCAGTGTTAGATAAGCAGGAGAGGAATTGGGAGAACTGTGCAAGGCCAGTGAGGGTCTGAGACCCCTGCTAGGACAAGAGCCTGCCCCATGACCCTGGCCATGCCAGGAGGGCCCTCGCCAGCCAGCCGGGGACGGGGCAGCCTCTGGTTCTCGTCCAGGACTCTAACCTTGCTCGTGTTTCCCCTGCCGTCCAGCTGAAGCAGTTTGAGCGACTGGAGCAGGAGGTGTCGCGGCCCATCGACCACGACCTGAGCAGCTGGACGCCGGCGCAGCCCCTGGCGCCAGGGCGCACGGGCGGCCTCGGGCCCTCAGACCGACAGCTGCTGCTCTTCTACCTGGAGCAGTGCGAGGCCAACCTGACCACTCTGACCAACGCCGTGGACGCGTTCTTCACTGCCGTGGCCACCAACCAGCCACCCAAGATCTTCGTGGCCCACAGCAAGTTCGTCATCCTCAGCGCCCACAAGCTGGTGTTCATAGGGGACACGCTGTCACGGCAGGCCAAGGCCGCCGACGTGCGCAGCCAGGTGACCCACTACAGCAACCTGCTCTGCGACCTCCTGCGCGGCATCGTGGCCACCACGAAGGCTGCCGCCCTGCAGTACCCGTCCCCCTCCGCTGCCCAGGACATGGTAGACAGGGTCAAGGAGCTGGGCCACAGCACGCAGCAGTTCCGCCGGGTCCTGGGCCAGCTGGCGGCTGCCTGAGACCAGTGGGGGGCGGGGGCGGGGCAGCGGGCTGGGGCACGCGGCAGGCATGGGGACAGGCCTCCCCACTCTGCCTCGGTCCAGCAGCCCCGACTGTCCAGGGCGTGTTCGTATTTATGACAGGGCAGGCCGTGGACGGCACTGCCTCAGGACTGGAGCCCAGGGCAGCTGGGGGGCCACCCCGAGGCTGGATCCCACTGCGTGCGGGGACCCTGCCCCGACAGGGCTGGTGCAGCCTTGCCGGGCTCTCCACACCAGGGGAAGACCCTAAGCAACTATTTTTCGTTATTGATTTTCCAATCATTTGACTAATAATCTACATTTAAATAAAAATGTAAAAATGAAAAGCAGCTGCCCGAGTCAGGCCATGGTCGGTCAGAAGGCCACCGAGTACAAAGGGCTTGAGGCCGCCAGCCCCACACAGAACCCCAGGCCTGCGCACAGGCCCCAGTGGCTCCTGGGGCTGGGGTAGGGAGAGACACTGGCTGAGGCCCGGAAGGCCTGGAGTAGCTCCAGGAGGGGTCACACAGCCGGGTCCTGTGGGGAGCAACCCGGACTAGACTAAGTTACTGGAATTAGGACTTATTCTATGCATCTGCTCTCCCACAATATGGCGCTGAGAAGGGAGAAGCAGCTTCTACACAGCTGCCTCCAGTTCAACCAATAAACAGCAGGACCTGCTCCTGATTGGAGCAGAGCAGTGTACTCGGCGTGTGGGTAGCAGAGTTGGGATTGACGGAAGAGGACTATAAAGGAGGAGAGAGACAACATGCACCAGGAACATCTAAGGGGAACATCTATCTGAAGGAACACCTGTGCAGCCCCCGAGAGAGCCGGCCGGCGGTGTGCCGCTCCCCCGCGGAAGTGGGGAAGGCGGCTAGGGGGAGCCGCCCTTCCACGGAGGTGGAAGGGACGGTGGCCAACCCGGGAGGAACCAGCAGCAAACCCGGGAAGGGCCGAGCAGACGAAGGAACAACGCAGGGTCCTGTGTCGTTCCTCCACGAAGAGGGGGAGTGACATAATGGTGCCGTGACTCAGATATGAAGCCTAGGCAGGGCTTAGTGTCGTTCCTCCACGAAAAGGGGGAGCGACAGGGTCCCCCTGCCCCAACGAGCCAGGTGGCTCCTCCTGGAGAGGGGAGGTGGCAAAGGTGCTCAGGCCCCAGGGGGCACCTGGGAGGGGCCTGCTGGGGTGCAGTGGAGGCACAGCACCGCCCCAGGCTCCCAAGCTGCAACTCCAGTGGCTGGAGGGCCTGAGGACGCGGCCTCGGGTCTCCAGCAGAGGATGGGGTACGTCCTGGCCTGCTGCTCTCCCTTCGGGTTGCCCTGCTGACCCAGGTGGGAGGGGACGAGCGTCCTCTCCTGAGCCCCGAGTGGGCGGCGGCAACCACCCAGTCCTGCTGATGGAGGAGCCTCCTCAGAAGTGGAAGCTGGTGCTGCCCTGGGTGTCAGCAGCCCCCACAGTGTCCCCAGGCGCCCAGAATCCTGCTCTCACCCGCAGGGACACCATTGATGACCCTGGAAGGCTGGTCAGCACAGGGTGGGAGGCAGGGACCCCACAGCCTGCGGGCAGGGTGCAGAAGGGCTGGACGGGAGCCACCGGGGCTGCACCTGTTTCTACCTCAGCCTGTCCAGGCCACCTCCTCTGCAGATGGCCCCTGAGCCCCAAATCTCTAGGCTGAAGGGTCCCCCCACCCAGCCTGCTGACCCCAGCCAGGGCCACCCAGGCTGCCTGAAGGAGCAGAAATGAGGTCTGCCATGAGTTTCCGTGTCTGTGAAATGGGGAGAACAGTGCTAAGTTCACGGGTGGGTGGCTGTGGGATTAGGTTTAGTAACCCTGAGTCCTGGGGAATCCTGGGCGCTGGCTCTTGGCTCTGGGAGGGTGGGGTGCACTATTCTATTGTGGGGAACACTGGGTTGATGATGGCCTGAGACAGCAGTGCCACGCCTCCGAGACACTGAGAGCTCGGCTGCCCCAGGTGCCCATGGAGGGAAGCAACATGCAGGCATTTGCAGCTGGGGCCCCAAGGGAGGAGGGCAGGGCCCCTGGCTGCTGTGCACCCTGAGGGGCATGCCCAACCCCCTCTGAGCTCAGGGTTGTAGGACAGGGGCCTGGGATGTCACAGCCTGCTCCATACCTGGAGTGCTGGGGGGACGTGCTTGGGAGGCGTGCAGGTAGAGCTGGGGCCTCCCGCAGCTTCGGCCAGTGATTGGGGGTTCCCATCCGAGTAGATGGAAAAGGCGGAGGGGAGAGAGGACTGCACGTGTCCATCTGAGTTGGAGGTGCTTACTGGTGACAGGTGCCCCATGCACAGCTGGGGGCCAAGTGGAAGCCCAGAGGGGCTGGGGGCAGGCAGGAGGCCGGCCGAGGGGCAGTAGGGGATGAGAAGAGGGGAAAATGCATTGGGTCACCTGGGCTGGGGCTCAGGGGTCCAAGGGACCTGGACCCCCTGATACCACAGGTGCATGAGACTGGAGTGGGCAGGGCCCACCTGGGCCCCTCATTCTCCCTGCGTGTGCTCTTCTTGGGTCTGGAGAGTAGGGACCCATGTGGTGGGGGAGGGGACGAAGGAGGGTCTCTCAGGACACCAGCAGCCTGGTCCCACCAAGGAGGGTCCTGTTTGGAGGCAGAGAGAGGCCTTGGCAGCTCCCAGACAGGCAGCAGACGGCGCTGGCATGGGGTCCAATGTTTATTTTACCTCGTGTGGTGTCCGGGGTGAGGTGCGGCTGCGGGCTCAGTTGGCCGCCAGGATCTCCTGCACCCAGGAGACAAGCTTGGTGACGCGGGCGTACACGCCGGGGCTGGAGGTGGAGCAGGTGTCGCTGCCCCAGGACACGATGCCCACCAGGGTCCAGGCTCCGTTCTTCTGGCAGACCAGGGGGCCTCCAGAGTCGCCCTGCAGGAGTGGGGGGAGAGCAGAGGCCGTGACTCTGGCAGCCGGGTCCAGGGGCCGCGGTGTTGTTCCCAGAGCCCTCCATGCAGGTGCTCGGCGAGGTTAGTGCTGGGCTGGGAAAGGCATCGGGAGCTCCTTGTGTGGTTTGTGCCCCTGCAAGTCTGGGCCGGCCCAGGGCTCCGTAAAGCTGATTTGCCCAAGAGGAGGAAGAGCACGGGTGGGGCTGGCCATGTGGCCACTGTAAGGGAGGAGGGGCTGCCTGATCTGGAGTCCTCGGCCCAACGTATCCCACTGCCCAGGCTGCGCACTGCCCCGCTCCAGCCAGTGCCTTCCGCTCACACGGCATCCGTGGCATTTTACAGCAGTGCGCCTCCGAGCCCGGAGCCCCTAACCCTCTTCCCCTCTGCTGAGGCCATCCGTGGTCCACTGGGTGCGTCTCCCCAACGACTTGGGCAAATGAGTACAGGGAGAAAGGGACGGGCCCTGGCGAGAGGCAGGGCTGGGAGTGGCATTCTCTGCCCCCAGGTGGCAGGGGGCAGGGGGTGCAGCAAGAGCCCCCCAGGGTGTGGGCTGTACCATGCAGGAGGAGACACCGCTGGCGCCGGCGCAGACCATCAGGTCGGTGATCTGGGTGCCCCAGTACTTCCTGCACTGGGTGTTGGACAAGAGTGGCAGGGTCGCCTGCTGCAGCTTGTTGGGCGTGTTGGCGTCTAGAAGGGCAAGGGGTGGTCAGCAGCCGCGGCCTGCCCCGCCCACAGTGCCACCTCTGCCCCCCCGCCGCCCGCCTGGCTGGTCTCTCACTGGTGTGCTTGGTCAGGCCCCAGCCCGTGGTGGCACACAGTGTCCCCGCGGGGAAGTTGTCGCTGGCGCTGGGCAGGCACACGGCCGACACGGTGGTGGAGAAGCGGGCGGATGAGGCCAGCTTCAGCAGGGTGATGTCGTTGTTGATGGTGGCCGCGTTGTACTTGGGGTTCTTGAACACCTGTGGTTTGGGACCAAAAAGATCCAGCCGCAGTCCAGGGAGAAGATGCGGGGCCGGAAGGACAGTGAGGGGTGCGTGGCTCCCCTCGACACCCCAGTGCTCCTCCCTGGACAGTGGCCTCAGTTGGCCTCATCCTCTGTGCCCCCAGGAGCCCGAGGCCCGGGCCTGGACGGATTATTCACATTTCTGCTCCTGAAGGTTGCTGTAAGCTCTGCTCAAATCTGTTATCTGA